GGAAGAGAAAGTCAGGGCTCCTCTGGGTCTTGGGGCTAAGTCAGGGACGGGGTCCTTACCTGAGACCCTTCCCTTATACCTGTCCCTACAGTCAGTCCGCCAGCCAGTGAAGCAGCCAGTCGCCCCCTGCCCCCGACCCCGGCACCCTCCCTCATGTCCTGAATGTGGCTGGCAGGACCAGTGAGAACAGAATTGGCCTTAACCTGAGAGGCTCCCAGATCAATGAAGCAGATGCAGTCTATGTCCAGAGAGGAGCTGAGCCCGTTTCAATCTGTTTACAAATGTAAGATCCCCAATTGTGGGGAAAGACTATCACTCAACCTGCCTCATCATTGACGTTTCACAAGAGCCCAGCCAAGTGGGCACTGGATGACCAGGTCCAGGGAAACCTCAAGCCCTGGCATTGCCATTGGTGTGGTAGTGAAGAACGTGGCTTCTGGTTTCAGACTGCATGGAGTCAACTTTTGGCTCTGTCACTGATTTGCTATGTCACGTCGGGCGAGCTGGCTAACTCTCTGTTCCTCAATGGGATAAAATCATAGCCTCTCCTTACAAGGTGGAGGGAGTGGACGCATGCACAGTGCTTGGCATAGGGCCTGCCATGGAGGACAGAGGATATATGCCATAGGGTAGCTTTATTTATTATTGAGGCAGCATATAGGAATAAATATGGCAATTTGAAGTGGCTTGCCTGAAGGCTTCCTGGGGGAAGGGGTGTGGAAATCTGATTTTGGAGGCCGAGACTGGGCAGGTGTAGAGAAGTGAATTGGGGGTATGGAACAGAGCTCCCATTTGCGAGGAGAGTGAGTTAAGGATGTGTCTGGTAAGAGGCAGAAAGGATGCATTTTCTAGGATGCATCCTAGAAACCGCCCCCCACCTCTCCAGCCAGCCTTTCTCCAAAGTTCCTACTTTAACTGGGGGTAACTCTTCCAGACCTGCCAAGGGCAGGTCAGGGGCGCCAAGACCATGAAAAGATGCCGTTTTTCATGGTGATCTTCCCAGAATGGGATTTATTCCAGAAACTCTCGCCATTCAGGGAGACTCCACTTGTACCTGGGTTCTCTGGACCTGGCAAGGGAAGAAACAGGCATAGAGAGTACAAGCCTGGAGGCAGATCACCCCTGGGCTTGGGTTCCAGCTCTTCGACTAATCATCTGTGTGCCTTGGAGCAAGTGAGTCAGCCTCTCTGGGCCTTAACTGCCAGGTCTGTGAAATGAAATAGTAATAGCTACCCTAGAGTTGTAATGATGAGTACTTGCTCAATAAACATCCACTGTTGATATTCAAGTTAACAAAGAGTTGCTGAGCTCCAGCCAGCTACTGGGGCCCTAATGAATGAGACCCTTTCTTAGCCCTCGAGTAGCTGGTGGCCTGCATGTGAGTCCAAATACGATGCTGAAGGTTGTGGTGCTACCTTATATAAAGGTCCACCCAGGAACCAAAGAGAAGGAGCTCCTGGCATCCACGTCCCAGGCTGCAGGGGCTGCTTCCCTGGCACACCCTGCAACCCTACAACCCTGCTTGTGTGTCCTCAGCCTATCACCCTATCTCTGGACATCCTGGCCAGCAGGCTGGGAATGGGAAGAGTGTGTGTGTGTGGGGGGGGCGGGTATGAGAGCCTGGGATGGGGTTCTGTTAATTGTGGAAAAGGTCTGTTGGGTCTGATTTCCAGGGGGAAAGCCTTGGGCAAGGGGGCCCAGTCCCTGCAGATGTGTGTGAGGAACACCTTGTTGAGGACTTTATCTCTAGGAGCCTGGTTCCAGAAAAGCAAATTTTAAAAACACCTTTACTTTTTTTTTCTGTTAATAAAAGTTGTATGTATTTATTGTTAAAAAAAAAAAAAGAAAAATACAGAAAAGCATACAAAAGGAAATAAAGATCAGCCATAATCTTCCCACGCAGAGATAACCATGGTATGATTTTAGTGTATCTCTTAGTTTTTCTTTTGTTTTCTTTCTTCTTCTTCTTTTTTTTTGGTTATAGAGTCTATTGCCCAGGCTGGAGTACAGTGGAATAGTCTCGGCTCACTGCAAGGAATTCTCCTGCCTCACCCTCCTGAGTAGCTGGGATTACAGGCACTGAACAACATGCCCGACTAATTTTTGCATTTTTCATAGAGACAGGGTTTCACCATGTTGGCCAGGCTGGTCTCGAACTCCTGACCTCAGGTAGTTCGCCTGCCTCGGCCTCCCAAAGTGCTGGGATTACAGGCATGAGCCACTGTGCCTGGCCTCTCCTATTTTTTTTTAAGCTGACTCTCATACACATATTTACACACACTCACATGGTTACACACATTCACACACACACACATTCACAAACACACACACACATTTACATACACATATATGTAACTTTTTATTACAGCATGGCATGCTTAATGTACACATGTCTTTAAAAGTTTAGAACAGGCCGGGCGCGGTGGCTCAAGCCTGTAATCCCAGCACTTTGGGAGGCCGAGGCGGGTGGATCACGAGGTCGAGAGATCGAGACCATCCTGGTCAACATGGTGAAACCCCGTCTCTACTAAAAGTGCAAAAAATTAGCTGGGCATGGTGGCGCGTGCCTGTAATCCCAGCTACTCAGGAGGCTGAGGCAGGAGAATTGCCTGAGCCCAGGAGGCGGAGGTTGCGGTGAGCCGAGATCGCGCCATTGCACTCCAGCCTGGGTAAAAAGAGTGAAACTCCGTCTCAAAAAAAAAAAAAAAAAAAAAAAAAAAGTTTAGAACAAGCCGGGTGCGGTGGCTCAAGCCTGTAATCCCAGCACTTTGGGAGGCCGAGGCGGGTGGATCACGAGGTTGAGAGATCGAGACCATCCTGGTCAACAAGGTGAAACCCCATCTCTACTAAAATTACAAAACATTAGCTGGGCATGGTGGTGTGTGCCTGTAATCCCAGCTACTCAGGAGGCTGAGGCAGGAGAATTGCTTGAACCCAGGATGCGGAGGTTGCGGTGAGCCGAGATTGCACCATTGCACTCCAGCCTGGGTAACAAGAGCGAAACTCCGTCTCCAAAAAAAAAAAAAAAAAAAAAAGTTTAGAACAAGATCATGGAATCATGAATACAACACCACCGTGTAAACTAATTTTTATTTTTTAAATTTTTTTATTTTTTATTTTTTGAGACGGAGTTTCGCTCTTGTTACTCAGGCTGGAGTGCAACGGCGCGATCTCGGCTCACCGCAACCTCCGCCTCCTGGGTTCAGGCAATTCTCCTGCCTCAGCCTCCTGAGTAGCTGGGATTACAGGCACGCGCCACCATGCCCAGCTAATTTTTTGCACCTTTAGTAGAGACGGGGTTTCACCATGTTGACCAGGATGGTCTCGATCTCTTGACCTCGTGATCCACCCGTCTCGGCCTCCCAAAGTGCTGGGATTACAGGCTTGAGCCACCGCGCCCGGCGTAAACTAATTTTTTTTATTAAATAAACTATCGAGAACCTTTCCCCCAGGTCACTAAATATTCTCTCCAACATAATTTAAAATGAGTGTCTAGTGCTCTGTCTTTGGGTATAAGGCATATCATTTTATCAGTCATCACCTGCTGGCCATCCATCCATTTCTAGATTTTTGTTATTCTAAATAACACTGAGATGAACATCCTTGCAGAGAAATCTTTGAGGGGATCGCTCACTTTCCAATTGTCTGTTCACGTCTGTCTACTCCCAGCTGCAATTTTGAACCTGTCTAGGCAGGATCTATGTCTGATTCATCTTCGTGACCCCAAAGTCAAGCTTGGCTGCTGATTCACTGTAGGCATCCAGTAATGGTTGAATTGAGTTGTTTTTCTAGAGCAGGTGCCCTGGGCTGAGGAATTGGGAAGGTGGGCTGACGAGGAAAGCAACCACCTTCCCTGCTAGAACACTTAGGGGTCCCCAGTGCCTTTATGCTCTGCCTGCTAACTTCTCCTAGGAAAACACCTTCCCAAGCCCAGAGCTACTGGCCATCCCAGAGGGTTACCGAACGGCCCTCCTGTATCTCTTATCTTCCCAGGCAAACTGAACCTTGCCCTCCTGCTTCATGCCCGCCACCATCTCTGACTCTTTTGAGTTCTTTTGTTGTGTCTCCAAGCTGAAGGCCCAGCAGACAGAGCCTCTCACCTGTCCATGATTGCTGGAGCAATGTTGTGGCAGCTCCCAGCTCCCCATGCAGTGGCCCTCTCCCTGGCCCCCACTTCTGACAGCACAGCCCACTTGGCTCCTGGGAAGTGCCCATGTGGCATACCTCACCCCTGTCGCTGCTCTGCCTGCCACCTCTCATGACACCAAAGGAGCCTTTGTCTCTTTCTCATGGGGACCCTCAGCAGATGCTGACATTCTGACTGAAACAGATTTGTAGAATCGTTGAGTTTGAGGTGGAGATCCAGTTCCCTGTTTCAGTGGGTCTTTTAAAAAAAAGAGAAAAAGTGCCAGGCCTGTAATCCCAGCACTTTGGGAGGCCGAGACGGGCAGATCACGAGGTCAGGAGATCGAGACCACCCTGGCTAACACAGTCAAAGCCCATCTCTACTAAAATTACAAAAAATTAGCCGGGCATGGTGGCACACGCCTGTAGTCCCAGCTACTTGAGAGGCTGACGCAGGGGAATCGCTTGAACCCAGGAGGCGGAGGTTGCGGTAAGCCTAGATCACGCCGCTGCACTCCGGCCTGGGCAACAGGAGTGCAAAACTCCATCTCAAGAAAAAAAAAAAAAAAAAGAGAGAGAGAAAGCAAGCAAGAGCACAAGAGATAAGAGGCAAAAGCTGAGAGGTAAAACTTACTAATTTAATTTTCCCCCCATCATCTGCACTCCCAACCTCCTGGAATTTCCTCTCTTCTTTTCGATTTTTAATCTCTTCTTTTTCTCGGTTTCTCTCCCTCTTCCCCCTTTTCACTCCTTTCCTTCTCTTCTTTCTCTGTCTCTCAGCTCTGACATGAGCACCCCCCCACCCTCCTGTCCTCCTCTCCCCTCCTCTCCCCTTCTTTTTTAAGTTTTTTTTTTTTTTTCTTTTAACTTTCAAGGTCATTCCGGACTCCTGATGCCGCCAGTCCCGCGGTGAGACGTGAGCGCCATTGGCGTCCGTGGCCTCTGTTTCCGTGGCAACCCAGTAACCATTAATTTTCAATTAAAGGAGACAAAAAGCTCGATGACAGCTCCAGGTCTGCTGAAGATGTCAAGAATCTGTATTAATATACAGCAAGAGAGCATAATTGTGTGTCCATCTTCCAGAGCAGCGAAAAATGGAGGGATAATTACCAGCTCGAAAGCCACTCTGTAATTTAGTTCTTACTGTCACCACAGCCCTACACATTAGCATAAATTAAAAGCAGAGTTTATTGTTATCAAAGTGCATTGATATCGCCAGACCTGCTTTCTTCCTTTTAACTGTTTGTTGTGGGTGAGTGACTCCCCAGCTCTTGCCAGGGTTTCCCCAGGGTGGGGAGGGTAGAAGTATGGGGCTGCCGGACCTGAAAGATCTAGCTGCTATCCTCCCTCAGGGCAGATGGGGACAAGGGTCAGCATGTTGCTCCTCTGATAGGGTCTGGGGATGATGCGAGGATGGAGGAGGCTTGGATATTTATTCACCTTTCACGTATCAGTGCTTTGTTTTGCCTATGAGCGATCCAGCTCTTTGCAGAGGGGGCGGCTGTCCCATCATGGCTCCCCCTTTAGTGCCTAGTACAGTACAGGGCAGGTGGTGGGTGCTCTGAGGCAACCTGTTAAACAAAGGAATGAGTGCATGTGTAGGGTATCCTCTGGGGTGGGGGGGAAGTCAGGGTAGAGACCTTGCATTCCTCGTTCAGGGTGTGGCCAGCTCAGGTGGAGATGTTCCTGTCTGTGGTCCAGTTCCTGCTTGGCCACCCAGGTCCCCAACTCCCCAAAGAGGTCCCTCTGAACCCCAACCCCCTGATCTTGCTGCTTGGCCGCCCACCCCCATGACCTGGGTCCTGCACGGCCACCGCCTTCAGACTCACCTCTGAGTGGTTGGAGCACCTCGAAGTGTCTCGCTGCCAGAGTGCCAGTGACAGCCACAGAAATCATGAATTTCCGTGAACGGGGGATGCGGAGTTTTCTTGTATTCTATCCAGAGAGAGCTGTCCTTCAGAGGGGAATTTAGTGTAATTACCCTTAAGGGAGCGATCCTTACACAGTCAGTCACAACACTGACCTCCTGGCTGAGATTTGACAGCAAAATTGCAGGCTGTGTACTCAACAGAAGGGGCATCCTCCTTTTTTGGGGGTTGAGGGGGGAGGCGGGAAGGAAGAAGGAGGAGGGAAAAGAGACTCAGAGGCTTTGAAAAGAAAAGTGCTGGCTTACAGCTGCCAGGCGAGCGGATTCTCCTTGGCAAGGCATCTACGGGGCAGGGAGAAGGTGTCCAGAGATCCGCTGGCAACTTCACGTGGCTCCTGAAGAGGGGCCGAGGTAGGCACTCCAGCTCTTCAGACCTTTGAGCTCTGGTCTGTGATCTTAGCTAAAGTGAATCTTATCATAAGAAGGATTTGGACAGTACTAGGCACTATTCGATAAACTACTCAGGGACGTTTTCCCAAACATATCTGTCTCTTGGTCCCTCCCATGGTGCTGGAAGATCCGCCGTTCCTTATACCTTGAAGCTGACAGACCCAAGACCCAGTAACCCTACACCTGGGTTACCTGGAAGGACTCACGTGCTGATCCGTGACCACTCCAACTTCAGCACGGACTCATCTCTCAGATGTGCTGGCCCATCACATGACTGAATCCAAAGTTTCTGTGAAGCATTGGAAAAAATCTGGTGCATGAGGAGATCTTGATGGACTGTGAAGCCTGACAAGGAATGGAAGTAAATCCCCAAATCTCAGAGCTAGCAGGGACCCCAGAAGCCAACTGGTCCAAACTTCACAGAGAAGGAGTCTTTGCCTCTCCGTTCTACGTCTATCCAAAACTCAGGGCTGGGTGCGGTGGCTTAGGCCTGTAATCCCAGCACTTTGGGAGCTAAGGTGGGCAGATCACCTGAGGTCAGGAGCTTGAGACCAGCCTGGCCAACATGGAGAAACCTTGTCTCTACTAAAAATACAAAAATTAGCGTGGGAGGCGGAGGTTGCAGTGAGTGGAAATAGCGCCACTGCTCTCCAGCCTGGGTGACAAGAGGGAAATTCTGTCTCAAAAAACAAAAAACAAAAAACTCCCACAAAACAGCCACCTCTGCCTGCACAATTCCTAACAGCAGGGGCTCACTGTCTCTATAGAGGTCCATCCTGCTGTTAAATAGCATGGACCACTGCCAAATTCCTCCCGAGTGCAAATGAAAATCTGTGTCCACGAAATTTCTTCCTTCCTTTTGGAGACCCTTTGAAACAAATCTAGGCTTTCTCCAGAGGGACATCCCTTCAGTTACGTGGGGACCATGCTCAGCTGTCCAGCATCTTCTCCAAGTCTGAAATCCAGTGGGTTCATCACCATCTGGCTCATTCTTCCAGGAAAAAGCCCAAAAGGAGTCTGAAAGGGCACAGGAGGGCCGGAAATGCAAACCCAATGTTTATTGAGCATATGCTATGTTCTAAGCAGAAAAAAACCACCCTATCTCTTTTCATTCTCCCAACCAGTTCAGTGTAGGTAGGATATTATATTATTCCCACTTTACCGTAGAGAAAAGAAGAGCCCAGGAAGCTTCAAATCACTTGCCTCCAGAAGGGACTGAACCAGAATGGGAGCCCAGACTCCTGACCCAGGCCAAGAACTTTCCTTGAGAATCCAGCTGTGTTGGCTTCTACACCTCTGGGGCACCACTGGGTTTGGGGAATGATCTGCCACCATTCTCGTATCTCTCCACCTCCATGATGATTTTCTACAGAGTCTTTCTCTCCACTCAGTAGGGAGAAGGAATTCCAGGGGAAACCTCGCTTCCATCCTGAATCCTCCCTGAATGCTTCCCTGCCCATCCCAGCCCTCAGTAACGGCTTCAGCAATAATGACAACGTTGGTCGTTATTTACTGACCATAGGACCATGCTCCAGCAGCTTCCCTAAGGTACTGGATTCAACCCTCCAGGCATTTGCCCTGGCTGAGAGGTCTGCCTGGGCTTCTCTCCCCTCAGATACATGCACCTCCTTTAAGGACCACCTTCTCTGGGAGATCCAACCTAATACTCCTTTCCAGGTCTTTGTACCTGCTCTATTTCTTTTTCTTTCTTTCTTTCTTTCTTTCCTTCTTTCTTTCTTTCTTTCTTTCTTTCTTTCTTTCTTTCTTTCTTTCTTTCTTTCTTTTTTTTTTGAGATGGAGTCTCGCTCTGTCACCCAGGCTGGAGTACAATGGTGCGGTCTTGGCTCACTACAACCTTAGCCTCCTGGGTTCAAATGATTCTCCTGCTTCAGTTTCCCAAGTAGCTGGGACTATAGGCATATGCCACCACCCCCAACTAATTTTGTTTTTTTCAGTTGAGACGGGGTTTCACTATGTTGGTCAGGCTGGTCCTGATCTTACGATACGCCTGCCTTGGCCTCCCAAACTGGGATTTACAGGCATGAGCCACCGCGCCAGGCCTGCTGTATTTCTTTTGAAAGCTCATGTCACCTTCCAAAGAGTATTTAATTTACTGATTGTTATGCTCATGGCCTATCTTCCTCCTCTTTAAGTTCCGGAAGGCAGAGACTGTGTTTTGCTAGCTGTCGCATCCCAAGCACCTAGAACACTGCCTGCTGTACGCTAGGTGCACAAGCCATCTTTGCGAAACGGCAGGAGGAAAACTCAAAACCCTTTAAGGCAGTTGTGTTATTTTCACAGCAGAGAGGAACCAGGGCTCTCGTTCTGGGTTCGGTGGCTTGTCCAAGGTCACAGAGCCGGCCATCCCCAGCTGTGTGCTGGGCTGCTGAGTATGAGGCCCTTTGGGGTGAGCCTTGAGCCTGAGCCTCTTCTGAGTGTGTGTGAGTGTGTGTGTGTGTGTGTGTGTGTGTGTGTGTGTGTTGGCTCCCTAGGGTATTTCTGCCTGCATTCCAACCAGCAGGTCCTTCTGGGCACCCCTCCCCTCCTTTTCGGGGCTTCTTCCCTTCCTGCAGCTCCTTTTAGCCCCTGTGTTCTTGCCCCGAGCCTGGAGAGTCCTGCCAGTGCAGCTCAGCTCACCTCCCTCCCCTGAGCACGTGGGTCCCTGGCCTGGGCTGAAGTCCACACCAGGAGCCCGAGGTGCCCATGGAAGGCCCCCACCCTGGCCTCCGCGTGGCTCCTCTCCCCAGAGATGTAAATCCGGGCCCCAGAGTGGCCACACAGAACATACATCTTAAACAAACACTTCTTCTTGCTGTTTATCTCCCTGGCCTTTAAACAAACTCTTTCAAAGGTTTCTGCTGATAGGAGAGATTTACTGAAAACCATTCCTTGCTTAAAAGCCCTGGGTTTATGCTGCTGGGGGTGGGGGGGCAGTGGGGCCTTCAGGCCTGGGGTTTCTCTGACTCCGGACCACATGTTTATCCTCCAGGCCTTGATAGAGGAGCAACACAGACTAATCTTTATGGAAAAGAAAATAATAAAAGCAGGAAAGGGGTGGGCTGGAGGCTGGGGGAGGTTTGGTTCTTGTCACCGAACTCCAAGAGGCTGTGGCAGGTCCGGGTGTGGCAGTGCCCACCACACTGTAGCCCTGCCTGGGGGGTGGGGGGCGGTGAGCTAAGCATCTGGGAGGGGTGGGGCTCCCTTGAACTTTGGACCGAAGGCCCTTGGGCAGGTGAGCCTCTTCTCGGGCTTCCAGAGGTCAGAGTGGGCCTCTCTCTGCTGGATGAGGGGTGGAGGGAGGGCAGCAGTCACATGATCATGTCTATTCCCGCATCAACCAACACTCAGAAGGCACCTAGCCTGTGCCAGGACCTGGGGGTGGAGAAAGGAATAGTTGTTAGCATTTAGTTCAGCGTTTCTGTGGGCCTGGTACTGTTCTAAATCACTTAGGTGAATCAACTCTCATTTAAGAAGCAGATTCTGTAATTATCTCAGTTTTGTATATGGGGAAACCAAGTCACAGAGAGATTACTGGCCGTATTCCAGAGGTTTTAGTTTACAGGGATGCAAGCTGGGCACTGGATTCCAGAATGTGTCTCAAGTGGGAAACTATTGCCGTAGAGATTGACATTCCCATTTCCTACCCACTCCCCACTTGTCCTCCCAATAATACAGTATCTCATCCATTTCAAGGTGTCTCACAGTTCACTGACAGTGGTATTTCTTTCTTAGTGGATCACAAAATAATGGTGCATCTTGCAATCTTAGGTTCAACAAAATACAGCAATGGAGAACTAATGTGTACCAACCGTGGAGCTTGGGCTGGGTGATTTGCATCCATATTTCATTTAGTCCACCTCCCAAAGCTTCAAGATAGGTCACAGGAGCA